GGGTGGGGGGGGGAGGGCCTGGCTCAGGCTGTCCAGGGGTCCCTGCTTAGGGAGTGAGGCTGGCTGGAGGGCCCCCATCCAACCATGTGGTGGTCCCCCCCACGGCCCAGCTCATTCTGCACACAGCTTTCAAACATGTGTTCCAGGCATTGGCTGGATCTGCTCACTTTGCTGTCAGGAATGTGGGAGCAAGTAAATAAGAGCCAGATGACTTGGGAAGTGAATGAAATGAGTGAGAGAGTAGAGGGGTCAATGACTCTGTGGCCTCTTTAACTGAACTGATGTGGCCGGACAGGGTTTCCCACTTGCACCCTGAGGTTTGGAGGGTGCATGAGTGGCCTGTTGACAGGTAAGCAGAGGTGTGTAGAGTTTCTGTGGCCCCACTGTGCCCACCTTGAGCTCTTACCTCCTCCCAGGATGATCATTGCCTGAGTGTTTCCCAAATGGAAAAGCAAACTGGGAAGAATATTTCCCACTGCCTGGCAGGTGCCCAACTGCATGCCGGGAGGTAAGTGCTGAGGCTACCAGGTCACTGTCCATGCTCACAGCCCACGCCTGCTGTTCTGTGTTGCACCCGGACACCTGACGCCTACTTCTCCTGCTCCCTGCTCTGCCCAGGAGGCCCTGGCTCTGACCCAGGTCTCTGCCTCCCACAACAGGCCCCGGCTCCTGACTTTTGAAAACCCAAACCTACCTCAGCATGAGGACGACCTTCAGGCATGCCTCTGGGGTTTCCCCAGTGGAGCAGAGTGAACCGAGATGAAATGAGGCTTGGGGGTTGGCAAATTCAGAGCCAATGATGAGTTAGTGAGCCAGGCACTTATCCTAGGCCTCAGGCCTGGCTTTAATTCGACCGATTCTATCAGGGAGTGTCGAGGCCTCAGCACCCTGGCTCTCTGAGTGAGTGTCTGTTTTCCCTGAGGCAAAGGCTGCTCCTGTGAGGTGGGGAGGTGCCTCTGGATTGCTATGAGATGGAGGGAGATACTGTGCATGCGTTAGGTC